CTTTTGTGTCAAGGTGGGACTGTTTGCATGTGCCTCTATTTATTGTCTTTAAGTAGAAGGAAAATAGCCCACTCTTCATAAATGGAGAAAATTCTACATGTATGTTTACTTTGGCCTGGCTAAAAAGCTGCTTAAATTTAATTGTGTTTAATAAATTTACCCTGTATGTCAAATTTAAGCTATTTAAAACTGACTTATTGAATTAGCTTGCACCTGTAACTGATAAAACTTGCTTGAAATCCACGTCAGCATGCCCRCATGGGGATTTATACAGCCTTGACATTTTAACATTATTTAAACTGCTGTAGATTGTACATGTGGACCTCCCCTTAGTAGCCTCCAGCTGTAGAAGTGATGTCTTTTGGCTTACCTAATTACAGCAGCCAACATTTAAACCTTGGCCTCATGCTGCCAACATTTAAACCTGTTCACACCGTTTGGTGTTTTTGCATAAGACCACGCATTTGCTGGCAGGGTATCCTGACCACATCTGTCTCAAAAGTTCACAGCCTACATACTTGTTTTAAGTAATCTATCAAGACAGTCCACAACAGCACCATCTCAAGACTTCCAAGATGCTGAACACAAAATGCAATTACACTGCACAAAAGTATTAAGGAAAGCCATCTGCCCAAATTAACTGTGTGCATGTGGCAGTTGGGGTGTTGGCAGGATTTTGAAGGACCTCCATGTTTTGTAGTTTAGTCCATGACAAACTTATAACCTTTGAGCACATCACTGCAGATGTTTCTGCATTCCCCCTAAGGAGGAAGTGTACATCCCATAATAGAAATATTTAATAAAATGAAGCATGACATGCCTGATAGCATGACTTGGTTCATAGAGATATTATGGCTGATATTATGGCAATATTATTTRTATTGGCTTAAAGAAGGAGGTCCTTTTGACAAAGCTGTTGGCTTTGAGTGAGTGCTTAGGTCTATGTTGATGGTATTGCTGCTGTTGCAGTCTTCACCCATTCCCAATTATCCCCTGAAACCCCTTTYCAGCATTTTTTGGGTTACCAGCAAGACTTACAGGGGAGGCTGCAATTCCCAAGTGGCCTTATAAAGARATGAGATGGGATGGCAGGGGAGGATTGTGTGCCTCCTGTGTCCTTAATAACCTATGTTAATCATAGTAAACCCAGTAGGATTTATCATTCCATTATAAAGCAAAAAATTATTTATCAGTTTCACTGTMGTGTGCAATCATTCCCTGAAACTACTGGATGGCAATAAGACATTTCCAGTTACACTGGAAAGCAGCTGGGGTCAGAGGTTCTCAAGGTTATCTTTATTTGSAAGTCCAACTGTACTTTTGGCAATCAGTTTTTTAATAATATCCACATATTTCAAATGCTCTTAATTATTTGTACATAGATAAACCCTACTATGATTTTATTTTTATTTTCATGCCTTTCTTGCACTGAACCATTGACAGGATATAGTTTATTTCATTTACGTAAATTTAGAGTTGTATTTTAGTCATCCATATTTACAAGTGCTGGTGTGGTTGGATACCATTGTGGCAAGATACAGACAAGTCCTTTATTGTTTTAATAGAACAGCAGTGCTCAATCACACAAATAATGATGTAATGGTTGTGGGGTTGGGAGTGTGCAGTTGAAAGATATCAGGTTTTGGCTCAGACCCTGTCAGCCAGTTCTTCACTTGGTAGAAATGTTTTATTCTCCTTTCAGAAGCATTATTATATTAGTGCTCTGACCCTTAGAGTCATATAGGCTGTTTGGGAGGACAGCCCTGTAATGTCAGGATCTAGGTGTCTGCTACTTAAGTAGTTGTATAATTGAAGAAAAAACCAAAAACCTTCAATTTTACTCAGGGCATTATTTGTTTATTACCATATGGTTGTCTTTATACTCTTGTCAGTGGAAGACAAAGATGATACTCTACATCCATTGTGGAGGATAGGAATACCAACAAAACTGAAAAGCCAGATCAAATCTCTTCCACTCCTACGTTTCCTGCTCAGCAATTTTCAAGTGTTAGACAGAAAATGCAATAGCTTTTCCCCTTTAGTTTTCTGAAGACCTGATGAAAACGTACTTGGAAATGGAAATTTTGGAAGAAACCTTAGTCAGATGAGCCTGGAAGAGCTAGATAGCTGGCATTCTGAAAATCACACCAGTAATTTAAGCACTCAGAAAAGTATTTGGGGATGGTGAAAAAGGACAAACATGCCCAACTGGGATTCTTGCAAAGGTGAGGTGTTTGAAGTTGTGATCTTGAAAAAACACCGTACAGCTGCTGGCTAACTCTGAAAGTAAACCAAGCAAATGCTCTGCTTACTCTTTTTCACTTTAAATCCATAAACAGTGTTGGGTAGAAAGACTGACCCTAGGGTAACCATGGCTCGTGTGGCCTGACCAGCAGGTTAGAGAGCCGTGCATTGCCACATTCTCTGGTTTGCTTCAGAAAGCTTTGGGTTTTGAAGGTAGCCCAGCTCTAGCAGGAAGGGTTGAGGCTGCCTATTCCAGCCCCAGAGCCAATTCTCAGGACACCTCCTGCTACAATGCCAAGTGCAGGCTTAAAGTCAAGCCCCATTGTGTACCCACCTCCCCGTTTTTCTTAACTGTGTGCTCTGTTTACTGTTGTGTGTAAGTAGTTTCCCCTCAATTCATGGCAAGTAGGATCTCTGTGTGCCTCCTAAAAAAACAGACGTGTTCCTTCAAGAGGGGGTTCTGCACCACCAGAATCAGAGGAGGGTGCTTTCTTCCATCTAGGAGGAAGGAGCAGCACCTCTCTGATCAAGTTTCCTGTTTGCTGACTTGGGCTGTAGCATTGTGTGTGCACTGACTGGTAGAAACCCCATTCAGGCTTACGTCCTCCAGGGTCCTCTCAGTTTCAGGAAAGAGYGTGTCATGTCTAAATCCATTGCTGGATGGGACCAGAAAGAACCTGACTATAGGAACACATGTAAAAACAATACTATAGAATCGTAGAATTTTTTAGGTTGGAAAAGACAACTTTAAGATTGTCAAATCCAACCATTAACACTGCACTGCCAACTCCATCACAAAACCATGTCCCTAAGTGCCACAACTTCACATCTTYTAAATGTGTCCAAAGATGGTGACTCAGCCACTTACTTGCCTGGGCGGCCTGTTCCAGTGCTTGGCCACCCTTGCAGTGAAGAMGTTTTCCCTAATATCCAGTCTGAATTCTTCCCCTGGTGGAACTTGAGACCATTTCCTCTCATTCTGTTGCCYGTTGCCAGGGARAAGAGGCTGACCCCCAACKGACTGTGACCTCCTTTCAGRCAGYTGTAGACAGTCATAAGGTCTTCTCTCAGTCTACCTTYGTTCAGACTAAACAATGCCACCTCTTGCAGCCACTTCACATAGGACTTGCATCTTTGGCTGAATAGAGTATTTTGAAGATCTTCCAAGCAAAACACTGCTRCATGCTTCAAACAGCCTCAGCACCACAGGACTCTGAGTGGAGGTCTATAGACAAGTGTCCAATGCAGGACACTTTTCCGGGTGCTGAGAGGCAGTGCATTGTGCTGCTAGAGCACCCCTGACCAGTCAGTGGTGTCCTGAGTGGATCTGAGGTGCAGGTGGGAATTAGCACAAGCCAGCAATGAGCAGCTTACACATGCCAGCTCTGCTTGGGAGGTTAGGAGACTTCACTGATGGAGCTGCAGGTCAGTCYGGGCATGGCTAGCTCAGTAGTGCAGACCTACCCTGAATGAGCAGAAATTTCTCCTTTTTCTGGGAGCTGGGAGTTGTGTCAGGGTGCCTTTTGCTGCAAAAGGAGCACACCTGCCTGTGTTGTGGGTGTGAGCTGGCTGGCTGAAGCAGCACCAGCAGGGACAGTAAAGCTGCCACTGCCTGGTGTCCCTGGGTGGATGGCCCACAGTGGTGTCTGCAGGGCTGCAAACAGACAGAAACCCAGCTCAGAGCACTCTGTGCTCTTTGTGACACTGGCCACTGGGAAGGGGGTCAGGGTAGCTTGAAGAATGCCAGTCCTACCAGTTTGCAGTGCAAGGTCTGTGATGTGGTGGGTTTGAAAAACTTGATATTTGTGGATGAATTAAAGCAGGTACATAGTTCCTCAGTGCTTTGCATGACCAGCATTGAAAAGTTTATGTTATGGGCAAGGACTTCTGAAAATGAATTTCCCAAATTCCTGTATTGTTTCACTTCAATGTGAAACAAGAGTTAGTTCTACTCTTGGCATTTTTTTCCCCAGACAAATTGCTCTATGTACTYGCTCGTCACATTTCAAACACTTGGCGTGATCAGGCAGCAGTGGGACTTAGTCACAGATAGATAATGAAATACTGATTTCTTCTCTTCTTTAAATATAACCTGTAAAATTACTTCTGAAGACTTGTAACAGAGTATACTCTGTGCTTCAGGTTAACAGATATCTGATATTTAAATGCATGGTAGATGTATAAAAAAATTTAGAAGTTTCTGCATGTGTTCAGCTTTCTGTGACTGCCCAGCTACTGTGGGAAGGTTTATTTTATTTTAAAAAATGTTCGGGCTGATCTCAAGGTCCTTTGAAAAATTGCATTCTAGTTTAATGTTTGCTATGAACTTCATTAAACACTTTATGTGGTCTGTGTCAATTTAGACCATTAGCATTATCATGAGCCAGTAACTTCAGGGAGAAAAAAATGGTTGTGCTTAAAAACATAAAAGCAGTTGTTAGCAAAAAGTGACTTATCAAGTGTAAACAGAATGACTTCAACAAAATGTGCGTCAYAGTACATGCAGGTCCTCATTTGCCATCTGGTATCTGTTTCATGACCCTAGCTATGGATTTATTTTGTGCTTGTGGACAAACAATTGGACAATGCTTAGAAACACAGGCTGGAATGCAGGCAAAGCTTTTGGCAATTTTTCACATGCTCTGTATCATATGGGGAAAAGCAATTCATAGAAAAGATGAATTGATCTGTAAACATTGCATCCTGATAATTCTTCCWTATAGTCATGTAATTATGATTTCTTTTACTTTCTTCAGATTTTCATTGAAGTCCAGCTAAGAGTGCAACCAACAAAATAAAGTGAAAAAGCTGGRCATCTGAAGAAGCATCCTTCTACTTGGTGAAAATGTCTCTTATTTTTTGACAACGATTAAAAGACAATGGGGTCAAACACTCTTGGAAAGGCTGCAACATTAGATGAGCTTTTGAACACTTGTATTGAAATGTTTGGTATGCTCTTTCAATATTTTATTTTGTTGTTATTGAAATTAATCTTTTAATATACGTCCTGCTGTTCTCTGGTTTAGCCAATCTTTCTCTTGGCTAAGAGCGTTTCTGTCCTGTAAAATTTTCCATGTTTCAATTTGGCCCAGAATCATGCAAACCAGAATTTTAATCACATGCATACTGGATTAAATTTTCTTAATACAGATAATGCAAAATTGTGGGTATGGCAGTTTTTAAATGCCGGCCTTTACCAAGAGAAATGTTTATATGAATTATTCAAAGAGTTATTTCTGGCATTGGCCAAAAGCACACCTGTGGTTTTGATGAGTCATTTTTTTTAAGGTTTTCCAAATCATCATGCAATAATCARCAARAATATGACCTAAGGCTCATGTAATMTTTTTACTCTTAYTAAAATGTGATGTACCAGGTCTGAGGGAAAGAAGTGATGAAAAAGACCTTGRTCCATTACACCACAAATCATTACACATATCACATTGCAGTCAAATGAGTTCATGGATGGGCTTAAATGTTTTCATTGATTCACAAAGCTACATTTAGATTCTCTTGAGATGCAGAATGGCTTTTAACTGGAATGAAGCACTAATTTCTTTTCCATGTGGAAACAAGTATCTAAAGGTGAGAGACATTGAACAATTGATGGATGGACAGACCTGCTACCAGCTGCAGTGAATGCAGTGAATCCCTTGCATTCATTTCTGTAGACCATCAAACTTGTTGTTCTAGACCTTAATTACAGAATTAGCAGAGTCTATGCACTTGCACTTGCTGTCTGTTGGCAATAGTGTCTCTTCTCATACACACACTCTCTCGGCAAGCACAGTTCATGTGTGGCTCCTRTTTCATGCATCACATCATCTGCTGTCTTCTAAAAAAAGTGACAGGGAATAATCTAACATTGCAGTTGTTGGGGAAGACTGACGGTCAGCCAGCCTGTCAGGGAATAACTGTGCAGTTTCAGTGGCCAGCCTGCCTCACACAGACAGGGGTCTTTGTGAGGCAGCTGGAGATGGGACCTTGGGCACAGATGTAGGTACTGCTTTAACTTTGAGTTCCTTGAAGCAGATCCATTTTTTAGTAATTTAACTGCCAACTTAAAGCTATAAAGCTGTAATAAAAGATGTATTGGAAGCAGTTGTATATAAATCATCTCCCCACCCTCTTGATGGGTTTTGTTCCTTATATTCCTGGCACTGTCTTTATATAAAGTTTAGSATAGTGCTGTAAATGCCCTATTTTTTAACTATGGCCTGTTACCTACATTTGGGATTTGGGTTTTTTTTTTCATCTGTTTAAATAACTGTCACTGCATTCTAGTAGTAGATACTGTTCATGGAGCATTTTTGTGCTCTGGTTTTCTTTCCTACCTCTTTGGTAGGTAATGAGCCAACATTTCCACTTTTGATCCTTTCTGTCTGACTATGCTTGAAGAATAAAAGCTTTCCTCCATTACAACGGGGTTTAACTCATTGTTTCTCTTTTGCAGATGACAAAGGAAACCAGTGCTCCAGCCATTTGCCAAGAACTTTYCTTTTAATGCATCGGTGGTATCTGCCTTCGACAGAGCTGGCTGGCAAGCTGCTGTCCACATATCCTTTCACAGAGTGCTGCAAGTTGGCATTACAGCATCCAAAGCAGATTGTTTTTCTGACTCCTTRTAAAAATGTGCCAATTAATTAGTAACAAACAGAGTTTAGAGGCGAATTTTTCTTCAGCCTAAAAGGTCAAAATTTGTGAGCTTTTTTATGCTCACATAAAGACTTTGCAGGCTTTTTCTGTATGTACAAGAACGCTGATATTGCATTAACTTTGAATAACTGCAAATATGAGGCCAAGATAACTTTTCAAGTGTATCATAGCAGGTTGGCCTTTGAATATTATGAATTATCAGTCATATCTAAGCACCTAYATGTCATTTATTCCTCTTATTATTATACTTCTTAATATGATAAGTATTATCATATTTGGTTAGCCTGGCAAGAAACCTTTCAGCAGCAAATTCAGAAGAGTAGAATAGAGGCATTTTTTATGAGGGTGGGGAGGGGGAAGTGGCAACCAGAAAATACTGTCTGTCCCCTACAATGCTGTGAAAGTAAATGAAATATCAGAGGCAAATGTGGTTATCTCTGGAGAAAAGTTTGATASTTTTTAAAATTCAGCTGGTCTGGTATCAGTCTCCAGTGAATAAAAGCATTGTGAATCAAGGCACACAAAGCTTTCTTTAGCTGACATACATATAGAGATGCCGATGGGGAGAACTGCAATGAATTCAGATTGAAAATCTGCTACTTCATGAGGTAAATGTGCTTCCGGTCCTCAAGCATTTTTGTTTTATGGTTCTGTTGATACTCTCAATGTAATATTGTTTGGGTTTTTTTACTTGGTCTCCATTGTACAGCAAACTTAATTTCTGTGTGTTGAAAACAATTAAGTTGAGCCATCCAGCTTTTAAGACACTTAACTGCACTGAGCTAAAAAGCTGACTGAAAACTTGTGCTGTTTCATCTGGCTCACAGATGTGATGCCTCTCAGAGGAAGACTAGTTCAGTGCCACACAGAGAAGAGACATTTTCTCCAGGTGTACCATAGTGTGGGAGGGGGAGAATGTCTCTGGGCTGCAGACTGCGGTTCCTGCAATCCCTACATAATTTATGACAGGAGTGTGTTAGTGATGCTGAAGTTGTTGCAGGTTGGRTGTGCTCCAAACCTTGCACCAACTGCACTGACCTTGTTTACATGGGAAGGCTTTCATGTGTTGGGCTATTCTAATGTAGGAAAATTTCCCTGTAAAGGGGAAATTTTTAAGTAAATATGACAAAACCTGCTTCACCCAAACAAGTGCTTTTTCCTCCTTCCTCTGGATGAAGTTACATCAGTGAGAAGAAAAATGAGGGGGGCTATGGAAGGCAGGACTGATAAAGCCTTTTCCACCCCCATTACACAGAGGAGGATGCTTACATGGTTTACCTGTAAGGTTACATGGCTTGCATCTGCTTTACACAGTAATCGTTGAAGAACTGCCACTCTAATTTACATTTTCATTTTCATGGAAAAGTCTTTCCTGAKCAGACAAACMRTTGGACAGGGACCGAATGCAAGTGYTCTTTGGGTGTCCTGGCAGCCTGTGTGTGGTTTTTGTGTGTGTCACCTGAGAYATCACTTYAATTTTGCTTTTAAATAGAATGCTKCTTTGTTGTGCTATTGTGAGTTAAGAAAAGAAAATTAAAAGAAAAAGTGAGCTTTGCCACTTCACTGTCACAGATAATTACAGAAGCTGAGATAGTTCACTCTCTTTGTCTAAGGAACAGTGGATCTGAAATAAGTCCTACTAAAAAAATGTGCGTAAAATACAGGCAGCCACTGATTGTTATACCTGACTCTCTGGGCTTCTCTTAACTGTCTGTGGATTTCAGATACTGGATTTTGGAATTTCCTGCGGAGTTTAACTTGGATCTTGGGCTGATTCGTTTGACTGAAGAGTTTCAAGAAGTAGCCAGCCATCTCGGATATGAAGATCACATCCATCTTATTGATATCTCAAGCATGTAAGGATGCCATGGGCTGCAATATCTTTGTGTCTGGAACAGCAGAATTCTAGTTCTGTACAAAATATAAAAATATTATGGGCCATCTTGGTCTTGAGAGTGCAAGAAAAGCACTTGCAAAATTGTTTTTAAATTTGAAGCTACTAAAAATTTGAAGTAAAGTTACACAGTAAAGAGAAGATTCCTATCTGTATGTGTTTTTCATATAAACAAGAAATAAATTCTTTTTCTGACAAAGCAAGTGCCAATTAAGTGATTAGTATTACTTTTTTTCAGTAAGTTTTCATACAGAATAACAATCAGCATAGTGATTAACATGCTGTGTAAATCTTAAATCTTCTCGGGGGAGCTTTCTTGTCCTGTCATCAGTAATCTGTTAGTTTTTTGTAATATTTTCTATGATTTAACTGGAGAATTTTCAGCATTCACATTTGTAATTGCATTGTATCAAAACGAATACAACTGTCAGTTCCTTGACAAGCTGATCACTGACATGCCTTTGCATCCCATCTGATATTGTAGATTTTCTTTTAAAATATGGCACATAAATAGCATTTGGCTGTTGCTGTTCCATTACTTCAGGGACCTGTGGACTTACAGAGAAAAAATTAATGCTTGATGTTGCTCAAGTATATTTTTGTGCTGTATCAGGATTTGTTGTGAACTGTYCTTTTATTTCCAAAGCATCTTTAATTATGGCTTCCTGTATCATGGGGAAGAATATGTTGTCCTTTTGTTGTGATAGAAACCTGCTATTTTTTATCACTTGCAGTAGTGCATCCAAAATTCAAATCTTCTGTTATTCTCCTGAACAGATGTTACTCTAAGTGATTGTCATGTGTTGGATGTCACAGACCAAAAGATTCATGGTCCTTCTATGGTCAATTTTGCACGATATGTTCCAACTCTGGGCTACTTTGACATGTACCCAAACAGAACTGAGACTTATACCTGTTCTATTGCAGTCCTTCCTATGACTGGATGAGRAGAGTTACACAGAGGAAGAAGATTTCCAAGAAAGGAAAAGCCTGCCTGCTCTTTGACCATCTGGAGCCCATTGAGCTAGCTGAACATCTCACTTTTCTGGAGCATAAATCTTTTAGGAGAATTTCTGTAAGGAGCTCACAACTTTGTCACTTGCAATTAGGAGTCTGTCTTTAAAGAGAGTTAGCATGGTTTCACATTTTATGACTTTTTTCTCAGTGTAGTAGATCTTTATACTTTCTCATATGATATACATAGCYGTGCACTTCCTTGATCTCTTTCATGATTGATGATTTTTGGCACTGAGGGAAATTCAGGCACAGTTGCTTCTTTTCACAGAGGGTTGTACAGAGACAAGAGGCAAAAGCAGATGAAAACTAAAGTTGAAGCTAAACCAAAACAAATGAGTAAGACAAATGCCAAAATAAATGCTGATTTCTGCTGGCACATATCCATTTGAAAGGCTCACATGATGTTACTGTATCGGGTCGCAAACAGAAGCAGCAAGTTCTCAAGATGACAAATGAGACTTTTTAAAAAATGTTTAGGAGCATGAGAGAAATCAAACTCCCAAACTACGGAAAATGTATGAGTTTTTTCGTTTGTTTCAAGAGAGGAAGGAAAAGAGATCAATGAGAAGCTGAGACCAGTCTAAATAGAATCACTTTTGATGTCGCTTAATAATGTTCAAAGGTTAACTACTCTAGACTTCAAACCATGGGAAAACACCCTACTGTGATCTATGCAAGGCTAACCTTAAAGAAGGAGGGAAGRACAAGAAAAAAGGCATGGATTTCTTGTTAGACTTAAGATGCATTTTAATTCCTTTGGGGATTCCAGGAAGAATATTCAAAGCTGCAAGGAATTTTCCTTCTTYTTCCTTTCTATTTCTAGCTCATCTGTTAATTCTTAAGCTTGAATTTTGCTGTCAGGGATGACTCTCTGCAATCAATGAGAGTTAATTAATCTTGTTCTTCAAGTTCACGCACTACTTGTTCTCTCAAAAATACGATAAGTCTGAATTCTGTATTTGGTTTTACCTGTTTAAAAAGATGTGGAAGAAGGAAGGGCAGCATTACTTATAACAAAAAAAAAAAAAATCTGAACACTGAAATACTGTTTATCAGCAGCTAGGAGATAAGCATCTGCTGTGTTAGAGSATATACCCTCGTATGTTTTTCTAGCAGGCAGGTTTTGATCAGCTAAGATCAAGAAACCTGTCTTGGCTGGCATTGTTAGCAACTCCCTACACAAGCTGAATTCATGTCACAAGCTACTGGAAACCTCCCTTTAAAGCACAGCTGAAAAATGTTTTTCAAACATTTAGGGAAATTTAATCTTTGGGATTCTATAAAGTACCATGCTTTGAGGGTGTCAAATAAAACTATACAGAATAAAATATGTTGAGGAAATAATGGGAAAGATAGAAGTTGCAATCATGCCCATCATGCAGGCTTCTACAGTTCCTGACACACAAGCAAGYTGTAAGTTGACATTTAAGGAAAAACAAATCAAAAGCAAAAAGCTTTTAAGGAAGAGCTGTTGTGCAGCAGGGTCTGCTGACCCTGACTCATGGTCAGTTTCTAAACAAGAAGAGCTTTAAAAAGAAAAATTGTATCAAAGTTTCCATTTSACTCTTCAGTTGTCCATCGTTGTACTGAAAACACCTTTCTTCTGTTAGTTCACAGACTACCAAAGCTATGTGATCCATGGCTGCTTGGACAACAATCCTACTTTGGAGAGATCTATTGCTTTATTTAATGGTATCTCTAAATGGGTTCAGCTCATGGTTCTCAGCAAACCCTCACCCCAGCAAAGAGCAGAAGTAATCACAAAGTTTATCAATGTTGCACAGGTAAGTCTCGCAGATGAGTCTTTTTCTTCCAGTATAAAGCAGTAATACAAATGGAGATTGCAGTAAACAAATCAGCTGATGCTCTTTGTGTTATTTACCCAGTAAACAGCCTGTTTAACATCACTGGAGGTTATTTTTTTATCTAGCAGGCATAACGGTACAATAATTTTTTTTTGTTGTATTCCAGTTGCCAACTGTCACTATTGTGTGTTTCTTCCAGAGCTAAGCTTATTTAAAAAAAAAGAAATGCTGAACTATTCTGTGCCCTGGTTTAGTGATTTCTGTTTTAGTTGTGATGGGTTGTCTCCTTAACTTGCTGTGTGTGATGCTGAATAGCCACTACTTGTATTTCATTAATTTCTAATTATTCAWTATTAATCTCTCCTGCAGAAGCTCCTTCACCTCCAGAACTTCAACACACTGATGGCAGTTGTGGGAGGTCTGAGCCACAGCTCCATCTCTCGCCTGAAAGAGACCCATTCCCATCTGTCTTCGGAAGTCACAAAGGTATGGTGGAGTCCCGATGAGTTGAGCTGAACATCACCTCTTTGAGGTCTGATGGTTCTGCAGTGCTGGTGTCTCACCAGCACAGTGCTTGGATCATGGCAGGGCATCCTAAAAGGCTCTTGGTTGCATTCCTCTCAGTGGAGCAGGATAAGCTCTCAGAGATCCTCTGCTTGATTGTCCGTGCCAGAGAGGAAATTGACACCCTGACAAGAGTTGTGCTCATTTAAAACAATTAAGGAAATGCTGTGAATGCTTTCACAGAGACTTGCTTCTCTGGCTATTTGTAGGACTGGAACGAAATGACAGAGCTGGTCTCTTCCAATGGAAACTACTGCAACTACCGCAAGGCTTTTGCTGACTGTGTTGGCTTCAAAATTCCTATTTTAGGAGTCCATTTGAAAGACTTGATTGCTGTCCATGTCATTTTTCCTGATTGGATAGATGAGAACAAAGTTAACATAGTGAAAATGCAGCAGCTTTCCGTCACCCTGAGTGAACTGGTTTCCCTGCAAACTGCTTCTCATCATTTAGAGCCCAATTTGGATTTAATTAACCTGCTAACCGTAAGTAWTGAGCGTGTTTCAATTCACTTCTGTGATTCAAATGTTGAGYGTCAGTAGGAATACTCATATCTATAAAGTTGAGTATTGTAATCCCAGCTTTGAAAAAGAAAAGGGAAAGGATGCAAAAGAGAARTAAGTTCACATGAGGTGTTAAGAAAGTCAAAGAGAGTTCTACTACTGTAGTATGCAAYGGCTGGAAGCAGCAACAGGATTGTTATAAATTACCTGTTTCAAGAATGACAGATGGAGGGCTGTATTTATGTTAGGAGAAGTAAAAACTCTGTTCTGAYTATTTGGAATGGGAGCTTATGTCTCCTGTGGAAGGACTGGGTGATATACTGACATGGACACAGAAGAGAAATTCCAGCTTGAGCATCACTCCATTCTTGCTCTCCAGTGCTTTCCATGTGACACAGCACTCTTCCTATCCAGTAAATAAAAATGTGATGGATTTATGGTAGGACTGATCAGGTACAGAGCTTTGCACTAAGGGAGCTGAAAAATACGAGCCTGATCTGGGAGCTACCACGCTGGTGGGGGAGTGCCTATGGCTTCATTGTAATGAGAACTGGGAAAGTTTGGGGGAATAAGAAAACCTTCGGCAGTGCCTTGTATGGAACAACCTGGAAACAAGGTTTGATCCTGGTTAGTGGGACAGGCAAGAGAATGCACCAGATGTTGACCAYTGCAACATTCATTTAGTTTAAATTTTGAACTATAAAGGCAGATGTTTATGATCTTGTTTTGTTTTTGTAGGGACTGAGTGTTGCTCTCTCGTGACACTCTTTCCCTTCYTGGTCATTTCTTACAAGCTTGGCTTTGAATGTGGGGAAATGGAACCTCAGGCTTTAGGGAACTGAGCAATAAAAAAAGTAAGTCCAGCATGTTAGAAATTAGATAATGTGAAGTGAGAGATGGAAGCTGAACTACTGCTACTGCTTTCATTAGCTGTTCTCTCTTCTTGGTGACTGCYTGTTTTCCTAAAGGAGCAGAAAGCTAAAGATTTTTCTAAGATCTTGCAGATCTTCAAATATTCATCATTGTATCAGCCTGAGCTCATATAGTGTATCTGTTTTTCCTTTTTTAAAAAAAAAAAATTTCTTCCGGTTTTTTTGTTTTCAGCAAAATAACGGGCATTTGATTTGTATATTTATACTTATTTCAGTGTATCATTTATCAGGGGAAGTAACTGAGTACATGATGGGTACTTTCTCACTTGTGATACACYGATGCATTCATTCATTACTCTGCTGACTTTGTTAGAGTTCAACTAATGTTCATAAAAAATGAAGTTGCATTCTGCAATGTTAATTCCAGACCTGTCAGGGGTTACCTGTTAGCATAACTCTGTGGTGGTAGCTTCATGCAATGATGGGGACAGCCTATCTAGGGCTAGGTAGACAGGTGTAGGTATCCTAAAACTTTTCCAGGGTAGTTTTGYCTTCATATTGATCACTGGAAGTGAAATTCTGGATCAAGTACATTTGATAGTGTGGGACTTTTGATTTAAAATGGTGACTTCTGGAAAGCGTAAAACCAACAATTTCTATAAAAAGTTCCTGGACCAGAATTTTGGTACATAGCATAATATGAACATTCTCATTTTTCTTCCAGTATGTGGATTTTGTCCTCATCTGTGTACATGAATACAATACTTCTTTTTCAACACTAGTTTCTTAAACAGGAATAATGGACTTACCTTGTAGGTACAATGTTTCTGTCTTTTTTTAATAAGAAAGTTGTAAATTGTTGGCTGGGTTCAGAGAAAGAGGAGAAGAAAAGACTTGCAACCCAAAGCTGACAAGAACTGACAACTAAAAATAGTTGACCTTGCTATGTGCAAATGGTCTTTCAGCAGATTTAGCCTCCCCTGCCACCTAAGTCATCCTCARTTTTGAGAGCATGAAGAATTAAGCATTCCTTCTATTGCTATGTCTTATCTCTCTAATGTCAACTGTAAAAAATTTTCCCATCTTTTCCTTATTTAAAGAAACTCCCTTTATGTGGATAAACCTGTGGAATGCTTTTCAATAGTGTGTTAAACGGCTGAACCAAATGTTTCTTCATTTCTGCTGTTTTCCCATTGAGCAGCTTCTATCTAGCCAAGCTTTKAGGGGTGTCTTGTCCTGATAATCACTGTGTAAATCTCTGGCCTGGTCTCTGTCCCTTGAACACTGCCTTTTGCACCACACCGAACAAGTGCTGACAGCCTGGCCTGTGCTTGCTTGCCAAGTAAATCACTGGGTGCTAGTCCCACAGCTTGCACAAAAGATAAAATGGATATTTCATGGGCAYGTGGGAATATGGCCTGCTTTTTCCCTTCCTCAGTGGCAGTCTTATTTGCTCTAAGGGAGCTGATGCCTTTCAAGTAGCTTGGAAATGTTGATGTGATATTTGGGGAGACTTTGGTAAGAGCCATGAAGTGAGAGCTTGGCTTGATAGCTTTGGTGAGCTGTGGGTAGTAAACTTCAGGCCATCTGCTCAAGGGGCTTACAGGCATTTTCAAGATGCTGTTGTGAGTATAGACCAGAAGGGTTCATGGGCAACAAGAGGTCTGTGGTTTCTGCTGAATGATAAACAGTTTGGAAAGTTGGTCCTCTCTTGCCTTAACTGTCTGCACACAAACTTACAAGCCTGTACCACTCCCTGGAATCCAAAACATGGAGTTTAAGAAGTAGTAAAAGAGGACCTAAGCATGAGCTAGGCAGTGCAGCAGAGAGGAGCAACAGCTCTAAAGAGATTTTTGCCATCAGAAGACTTACATTCGGTRAGGATGCTTAAGGAATTTTCTTACCTTTTAGGCAGTATTTCCACACTTTGTGTGGAACTTTGTTTTTTCACAGTGTGAATAAAAAGCCTGTGGGTAAATATTTCATCACTTTCTGTGGATTGCAAGTRGCTCTCAGTTTCTTAACTAGACCACAGTGTATTTATGTGAATTGTGCCACCATTTTTCCCCACTATTTTTAGTTCTCAACATCTATTTTTCTAACCTGTTCTGAGACTGTATGCAAACAACTGGAAAGTCCCTGTCATTTGTACAGTCTAGTGAGGAGAATGAGAACTACCTAAACAATCAAATTGAAAGTCATCCTCCCTAACTTGTGTTCAGTAAGTTCAACTTAGAAAAAAATAAAGTAAGTCATGCGTTTCTGATTGTTCCCCTACCCTTCTCAATCCCCTCCAAATTGTTCAGAAAAGAAAACAGGACAGCAAAGACAGTCAAGTTAGAATAGACTGTCACTCATGGTAAAGATTATTCTGGGAAAACTCCTATCACACTTTGTCAGAGCAAAACTGTAAATAAAATATAAAAGGAATGCTTATATAACTGCATGGTTATCATGCTTGTAATTTTTGTGCTTGAGTGCAAAACTTCTGAACAAGACAATACCATGTCTGCTGTGTGCTTACCCATTGTGCCTAATGAGGTTAAACCACTGCTTTAGATAAGGTCACCTAATTGAGGGAGGGAGAGATACAATAAATACCAATACATTTCCACTCCCAAATCCACACCCTGTTCATGTGGCCTGCTGAGAAAACTGTGCTCTTTCACAGAAACTAGACAACACCTTTTGAACCACCAATTCTGATTTCACTCCCAGTTTGATGATATCATGCACTCCAACTGTGTGCTGCTTATTTTATGCCACCAAGGAACCTCATAACACAGTCCCYCAATATCTCACCACATGAACAATATTTATTACAGCACTTGCTGATTCTGTGTTGTCTTTAGGATGGGCCCTTACCCAACCCTGTGACAGCAGCGTGCTGGCTGGGTAAAGGAACATGCAGGATCCCTTTCACTTTGCCCATAACCAAATTAAAAAGTGCAAAAATCAGCAGTGTTTCAGCCAGACAAAATGAGTAATGTAATCTCCAGACCTCTCTAAAGTCATGTGTTTGCTTTGGGCTCCTATCTTGGGAAAGGGCATGACTTTTGTSTTAATCATCGCACTAAATTCTGCCTAAAAGAAGGTGGTTCTACAGTAGCTGGTCCTGCTTGTTACTTACTTGGCTCTTCAGATTCTCTAGAAATAACTTGTGTCACAGTCATTTTGTCAGTACTAATTCTRTCTGTCTGCTCGGGAACATCCTTTTAACTCAATCTTAGCTTAACTGGGGATTTGTAAGGTGGATGATAACTTCAAATCATGTCAATTCTCCAAAGCCAGTTAATGTAGGAACTTGATCACAGGAAACATGCAAGGTTTGTTCCCTCTCATTGCAAAACATTAGCAACATTACAGTGTTGATTATTATTCTCCTTCATCACTCCAAAAGAGGMGGAATTTACTGCAGACATGCAACAGAGCAAGACCCCAGCTGCCAAAGTAAAAWCAAAGAGATTTATCCTACTTTAAGCATATTTATGTACCTTCTTTTTTTCTCAATAAATCCTCTAGGGAAAAGAATGAGAACATAAAAGAAAACTGCTTCATTTATCCAGAAACAGCTGAAAGGCAATWTGCCTTGAGAGGCAATCAGGAGCAGGCCAAGCTTGGATTGCTGTCAGAGGAGCACTTTGCTGCATCAACCATGGTGGCAAACCCAGCTTGCCTCTSCTGGGCCTCTGTCTGCCCAGGGCTTTCCAGAGAGGCGTGTGATGCACGGGGCGATCTCTGTAGAAGATCTGTGGTACTATGGCCCTTCTTGAGGAGCAAAATTTGACCAGCACACAATCCCAAGTCCTTCCAGCCCAGCTCCTCAACAATGTCTTTCCTGAAGTTTTTGTATTGACTGGGTTGTTTCTCTGAGATCTCTCATGAGCACTGAGCAGCCAGAAGAAAGTGTTTTATATGAGGGTGGTCTTTGGAGCCTCTTTGCATGGGGTCAGCACGCAGCCCCTCTTTGCTGTGGGGTCGGGATGAGGGCTGTGCCAGCCCTCGAGTGCTGAGCCTGACGTGAGCAGCAGCGTGTGCTCGCCAGCCTGGGTTAGGCTCACTCTGTGGAARCCTTCTTTCCTAGGTTTGGTACATCTCCTGAGCTCAGAGGAGCAAGATGTTGTATTTACCTTCAGATGGAGGTATATCTCTGCTTGCAAGCCTGTCATATCCAACCCAGTCTGATAAATATTACTGTTTTCCCCTCTCTCTTACACGTAGCTGTCCCTGGACCTCTACCACACTGAGGATGATATCTACAAGCTGTCACTGGTGCTGGAACCCAGGAACTCCAAATCTGTACGTCATCTTTTTTTTTTTTTAATTGGATTTGGACATATTGCTTCTTTTGTCTGCATGCAGTTGATTGCTTTTTTTAATGACATTTACTGTGTTTCCTTATTCATGTGGACATAAAGTTTTTTAGTGCTACACTTGTGTAGAAAGCACAGTCACTATTTACAGGTTTAAGTGCATATTGGGAGAARTAAATAGTGGAATACACCAGACTTTACTGTTCAGTAATTTTCAACAAAACCTCTGCAAGTCKTGGAAAACAAATTTCTGCTTTAGATATAGATATCCTTTGTAAGTTTATATAAATTATTTATTGCATGACCCGTAGCCAATTTTCTGAATACTGGTGTAGTTATATAAAACAACACCGAATTAAAATATTTGTTTAAGGCAAGGCAAATAATTAGTATTTTATAACTGTTTGCTCAGGCATAATTGCCTGTATCTTGGGCTCTCAGGCAATTCTAAACAGATGAGAATAGATATTATTCTTTGTCTGGTTATGTGCAACTACAGATAATGCTGATTCATGCATTTTTCTTTATTTTTAAAGTCAGAGGATTAAGCTGAATTTCATTTAAGTATTACTCTTTTTTTMTGCTGCCAAATGCTGAGGACTCTGCTTGCCTCTGAGCATTTCATCAGGGTATTAACATTCTTATTACCTTTCCTATCCACCTGTGATGCTCTCAGGCTGAGCCCTCTCAAGTCTGCCACCAGCAGRAGCTGAGGGTGGCTGGAAATGCTTTGCAGGGTGTGTCCAGGAGTCTGAGATGATGCATTCCAGTGCTTTTCAAAATTATGAASCATTCTTAAAAGCAAGCATGGAAGCAGAACCCTTTAATTTCCAAGTATAAGGCTTCTCTGGRGTTTGAAAGAGTTAATCACCCTTGGAGACCAGTTTGAGCACTATGTGCCTGCGCTCCCAATGGCGTGTTAGCAGCAGTGATAAGGAAACTAATGAATATTTCCACAGCCAACATTAGCTCAGCTGGAACATTTGAAATTTCATTACTGAGTCTCCAGTCCTTGTTGGATACGATTTGACCACAACAGTTGCTGTTTATTTCAGTCATTCTGGGTCCCTCATGCTCTCATTACTGCCAGCAAAGCTGAAATGTTACAGGCCTGTGCAAGGACTAATGGGTCGCTACTGTAAACGAAGGAAATTATCACATCGCTGCTTTGATCTCCAGCCCGAGCTTTAAGCAGGACAAAAGCAAGATAAACAGCCCTGTGAACTTTAACAGCACCCAGCAGTTGTGGGAGACCTCTGCATAAGGATCAATGAATAACCAGTGACATTGAGCTGTTGCAGCGCCCTGATGGGTAAAAAGCTGCAGCTGAATCTACAGAAGCCGCACTGTTGGAAGCTTACTCCTCTCTGATGGGTTGCCAAAGCACACAAGCTGTATCAGAGGAGAAAGAATCCGTAGAGTTTTTGTATGTGGAAAAATTYGTCAAAGGCAACGTGACRGCATAGTTGTATCAYTCCAGCTGCTCCTGGATATATTGTWATATGGGTACCACTCCCATGCAGGTGCACTAAGGAAGAAATGCCTCATGATGCTCCAATCATTTTCGATGCAAAAGTGGAGCTGATCTGTTAGCATGTGAGTGTGCTGTCAACAGGCACTTGAGCAAGGCTTTCCTTCTGTTAAAGCTGGGAGAGGCTCTTCAGTAGGCAGAGCAGCCAAAAAAAAAACCACTGAAAATGACCACCAGCTCTAGTGTCGCACCTCCTCGTCACAGTGTCCTGCTTTTCCATGCCCATTAGCAATCTCCCTTTTGGGAGTTTTTACTAAGACAGCCAYTGTCTAGAAGACAACTCTTGGTGCAGTTGTGCCACTGATTATGCACTTAGATMATTTTTTTGCTTTTCAGTAGAATTCGTTCCAATGTCTAAACACACAGGTGTTTGCAACATCTGGAAATGTTTTTTCAGTCTACAATGCCATTATCCCTGTGTTGGTGAAATAGATGGGAGATGCAGTCTGAATCACAAACTGCATGACCAGATACAGYGTTTCAGAACGTTTAATAAATTCAGCTTGATAGTCTCTGGACAGCTGGTTAGCACCTGTCCTCATAGGATGCATTTCAAATCCATAAATAAAATCATGRTTGTTCATTTGAGTTCATGAGTGAAACAGAGGGAACAAATACTTCCCTTTGGCTAATGGGCAGCAACATGAAATTTTCATTGCAACTTGTCAAAAAAAAAAAAAAAAAAAAAAAAAAAAAAAAAAAAATAACAAAAAAAAAAAAAAAAAAAAAAAAAAAAAAAGAGGAAGGCTCCAGTGGATTCAGTCTCTTTCTGCCACTGTGCACTCAAACCAGCAGGTGTTAAAAGCTCTCTGAGAGGTCTGGGGTAGTCTAGCACCACACTGACACTTTTAATAGGGAAGTTTTGAGTCAATGCTTTTGGCAGACAGAGCTGGATGTCCAGGTTCATAGTATTTTCTATTGAAATTAGATTCTGTTGATATAGGGATGTTTTCCTCCCAAATTAACTTGTTCACATTTGTATGGGTCAAAATCTATTGAGGACTGCTAGAAGCTGTTACAACAATTGAAAAACGGAAAGTCAAATTGGTAAAGCAACCCACTAACAAATCATTTTCTTTTCCAACCAAACACAGTAAAATGTGAACCCATGACCATTTCTTATCTTGATGTCAAAGTCTACAGTACCATTGTTACAAATAGTGACAAGTATAACAGCCTTACATGTTGAATTGTCTCCCTTTAAATTCACACCAATTTAGAGAAAGACAGATTTTTTTGCTCATCAGCTAACACAGGGGACTTCTGAGTCTGTGGACCATCTTCCTTCTGATCCAAAACGTGCTGATTTTTTTCTGCTTGACACTGCTTCACCTGCTAGATGTCCAGTGGCAGATRCAGGGAAAGGCTAATATGCCTTGAAGCATTTTTTGTGCTAACTGGTTATTTTTGAATCCTTACCTGAAACTGTATTCRGGTTTGTCCTATATTATCTACATGAAGAATCTGAGTTGCATTCCAGAGCTATTCCCAAAGCACCRTAGTGGTGCGGAGGAGTCAGACTGGGAGTTCTGTACATCCAGTGAGCTGTCAGCTACTGTTTTGTCAAGACCAAGRTGTTTTTAAAATAAGATAGTCTGTCTGGTGCTACCTGCAGAGCAAGTCAAAGGTTAGCCCTTTTCTGCTCGAGCTGCCTAGATGCATCAAGCTCTGCATCCTGGAATTGCTGAGCACAGTTCTCCCCTGCTTCTGCATCCTGCTGTCTTGCTGGTGCCCCAGAGAGCAGGAGCATGAACTTCTTCAGGCTGTGGCAGTTCCTCACATGGCTCCTGGGCAGGGTCCCTCCAGCAGGGAGTTGGGAGCAGACCGTGTTGTGGCGGAGAGTTCATCCAAGGCTTTACTGAGAAGGAGAAAAGCAGGTTTCTGGGACTGCCTGTTTCTGATGCCCACTGTGCTCACAGACCCTCCTTCCTTCCCTCTCCCTTCAAGTCTCATTGCTGTTGAACCCTCTGGAGACGTCAGTGAGGAAAGACCACTTGGGTTTGCTTCYGAGCTGCCTGGGTGCTGGCAGTGCAGCTGTAAGGTGCCACAGGGAGCCCAGCTGAAGCAGGCAGTGAGCACAAGCAGCCCTTGAGAACCTTGCCTGATGTTTTGCACAGCACATTTTTGCAGCACGGGTACTACAGTAGTTTGTGGTCGTAGCTYTGACATTTTGTTCTGATTTAAGGGGAAATTCCACTTCTTAATTCAGAGTTGAAAATCCTTGTGTTCTGATCCATCTCTCAGCAGCCTACCTCCCCGACCACCCCCAACAAGCCAGTAGTGCCACTGGAGTGGGCATCTGGAGTGGTACCAAAACCTGACCCTACAGTCATTAACAAGCACATACGAAAGCTGGTGGATGTAAGTATTTGGAATCTTATACTGCTGTAAGAGCATGATTGTAATGATTGGCATTATAATTAATTTCAAGCTTATCATGAGATTGTTGTGGTTGGGGTGAATTTCAGACATACARCAACAAATTTGAGTCATTACTGATATGTTCAGAAATATTTTATTCCTGCAATCAGCAATGGGATTAGTAAGCAGGGTTCTTGGTATAAAAGAGCAGACTTTCAGAAGCACCCAAAAACTGGCTGCTGTTTAATAGGTTTGTCTAGCAAATATAAATTCAGAGGGCAAARTTTCATTTTTTGCAGCTCTAGCCGCATAGCTCATGTCTGGTGACAGAGAGCTGAAAAGAAAGCTAYTCAGAAACAAGGTCTCACACGTTAMTAGGTCCAATGAACTTTCCTGGAAACTCTATTTCTAGTTTTCAACTTGCTGTTATTTTACTGTACAGACCATGTTACTTATGGCAAAGATAGCATTGCCTTGGTGTCATTTTTAAAATGTGGACATGAGGTCATGCCGATTTATAGCTGGGACCTTCTAGCTCCAGTTTGGAAGGTGATATGTTGTGCTAGGTAATGTAAACAACACTAACACCTCCAGATTTCTTTGAAGAGACAGAGCATTTCCCTCTGCTCTCTACAAATTAGCAAGTCTGGGAGGAACTATTGAATTCTGACCTTGTCTGTGCTACAGATCATTWATTGGGGTTATGTTGTTTAGATAACCTAAACAAAGTCTTCAGTTCTTTCGCTCAGACTTCAAATATATCTTGCAGTTTATTTTTTTTACATGCCCTTTTAGAAAAAAGTTTCATTTTTCTTTTAATGTGGCATGCTAGAAATGCACATGAGGTTCCTGAATTATTCTGTCAGTGCCATATGTGTTGATACAAATGATTCCACATCCAAACCTCTCTTTGACAGCTTGTTTAAACAGGAAGGCTGTCACAACTACTTTRTCTTTCCAGAATGTGCAGGGTGGGAGGTTACTTTTGTTCCTATGGTTGAGAGAGCTGCAGTCCCCCATTCCACAATTTTGGCCTTGTTCAGGACATATGATCTAGAGTTGGACAGGACTAAAACATGGTTTGAGTCTTTTGTGGATGCAGCTTACTAAAAGGCTCACACCACTCTGTACAGCTGTTTTCACTTTGCCAATATTTGTTATTTGCTAGCTACTTCGAGTTGTGTTTTTAGGCACTGTTTTAATTACAGAAAGTGTTGAATATTAGTTGGGTTTGCGTTTTGGGTTCTTCTTTATTATGTCATTTTGAGATTTGCCAGTCATTGGTTASAGTCATTTGATAGAAATGGGTTTCATCAGGTTCTTGTTAACACAAGGACAATACAGAGACCTTTCAGGGGTCTCAGTATATTAATTTAATGTCTTTAACAACAAAATTTTAATCTAATTAAAGGAGTCATCTCAGATAGTCATGTTGACTTTGACAGTCATGTTTTTCCCATCAGCATCACAAGGAGCTGATGGGAACACTTTGTGCATCTCTGCAAACAGGAAGACAGACTACAGCAACTCCTTAGCAGCCAAGGAGGGCCCCCATCACTATACAGGACTTTTTAAATTTGATCCTATGGCTGTTTTTCCTTAGTGATGGATTGGGGTGCATTGATGGAAGGGAATGGTTGTTAGACACAAAGTGCTCATGATTGGAGTGTCAAAATATTAGTAAGCAAATTAGATTGAAACAGTACTGTGGCAGAGCAGAGGTGACCAGATAAAGAAGAATGAAGCCAAAAGGGTCTGGAATATTCCTGGGAAAGCTGTTGTTGGGTTTTTTACTTTTTTTTATGATTAAAAAGTATACTTAATGAAGTAAAAGGGAATATGCTGTCACATGGGGCAGAATTTTAGTGACATTTCCAACAAAGAGGAAAAGTAAAGAAAGAATAATTGTGTGAAGAGGTSTGGAGGATCATTACTAGATAAATGCCGATGATAAGTTTTCTTTAAAAATTAGCCATTTTCAATGATATGCATATCAAAACACCAAGTAAAAATAAAAGGAATAAACCAGACACAGCAGAGAATCTGAATAGCTGGATAGAACAKTAAGTTACCTGTAATTATGATGTTGAAGAGGCTGGTAAAGATTCAGGATAGGCTAGATAATAGAACAATAATCTCTTTTTTTTTTCCCAGTCTGTCTTTAGGAACTATGATCATGACCATGATGGTTATATTTCTCAGGAAGACTTYGAAAGCATAGCTGCCAACTTCCCCTTTTTGGACTCATTCTGTGTGCTGGACAAAGACCAGTAAGCTTGGAGATTTCTTTGTGGTGTTTTTTTCTTTTCTTCAATTTAAAAATTCAGCAAATACAAATATTGAAGAAACAGCATCTCCCAAGTTTCTTGTGCCTGACAAGATTACCAAAGGATGAATTCTGTTATCATTTAAATTCTTATACTGTAGTTAGATCTTTAGGTCCACCCAGGTTGGAGTCTTGCTTTACCTGGTACCTTAAAAATCATTTATTAATAGCTTAATGAGGAATTCCTGCTGGGACTGAGTCAAAACCCTAGAGTACTGTGAAATTACAGTGGAGATGCTCTATCCAGACCAGGCATCAGACTGATTATACAAATGAGTTTTATACAGCACAGATGAGTGTGTGCAGCAGAGAGGCAGTAACAAATATTCTAGAAGGTAAATATAATATCAATTTCCCAGATGGGCTTGATGATTCTTGYTGTCTGGAATCTCTTTGGCTGTGCAGCCAGAGGCACAACCACTTGTTCTGTGTGAGCAGAAAGTCAGGTTCCCTCATGTAATGGCTGGGCCTGTGCTCCGGTACCATCAACAGGTGAGATAGCAAGGTTCCTGCTGTGCATTCAGTGATACTGTTCAAAGGACGACAAGAACAAAGGCTTTAAGCGTCTTTTCCTTCCAGTTCTGTCCAAGGATGTTCATTGTGTGCTGCATGCTTTCCACAATGAGAAAACCTCAAATTTTTCAGTGCCATGAGCAGTGACAGATCTACTCTACTTTTTATTTCCCTTACAGAGACGGTCTTATAAGCAAAGAAGAAATGATGGCTTACTTTCTGAGAGCTAAATCACAGTTTCAGTGTAAAATGGGACCAGGGTTTATTCATAACTTTCAGGAAATGACCTATCTTAAACCAACATTCTGCGAGCACTGTGCAGGATTTGTAAGTATGATTTTAATAATAGTATATCTTAAAAACAGCTTTTGCCCTCTAATGTATAAGGGGTGAAACAGGTTCCATACATTGCTAAAGTCTCTTGGCCAAATAATATCTCATWGCATTCAAAAGCACAAAACGTTTACTCATGTTGTAGCTGTGCTATCCAGTTTTGATTTAGAGGTTTCTGAAAACTGGCATTCATAAGAATTCCTGGTGGGGGGAAATAAAATTGCATTAGCTAAAGGATGTTAGAGACTGTATGAATGGTTTGACTTGGTTTATCTTAAGTTCTTTAATTTGGCTTGATTTCCCATGTAAACAAGCTCAAGGGAAAATAGATGTCTGGAACAGAGGATGTAGATGAGGCAAAAGCCGTTCTTTCTCAGGAAATTACACATGGCAACATAGATATGTTCCTAATTCTCTGAATGGCTGCAAGAGCCCTAATTTTTTCTCTATTGAATTAACATATCTTCTAATTTGGTAAAGCAGACAACAGTGTTTCCAGCAGTTCTGTACAATAAGAATTCTTAGAATTTATTAGTTGGGGTTTTTTTAATTTGTTTTTTCTCTTAGCCATAACTTACCAGATGTCACTTATTAGAGTGCTCTCTACATATCTGGGAAAGGATTGTTTTTGTGGACATTTGTGCTGCTTGTAAACCTTCTCTAAGTTTCCCACTTCAAACCAAATATAGTAAGGAATATAGGATTACTATGATATGAAAGTTACTTTAATGGACACACTCGGCTGAAATGAAATGTCCCCATTTAGAGAGCTAAAGCATTTAGGGCAAGGGGGCCATGTCCTCTGCGTRTGTGGGGCTCACATCACAGGCTGTAAACTCAGAGCCTGTCCCTACTCTCCAGAATAGATCTRCCTCTGCACTGGGGGTAATTTTATTCCAGATCTTTTCCACTGAGCAATGTTTCTTCACCGTTGAAAGTAACAATAACAGCTCTGCTAAGCACCAAAAGCGCCCCCTTTCAGACCAACTCTGGTGTTCCTGTCTAGTCCATGGTCCCATCTTCCACTCACTTCTTTTGAGACGTGACAGTTCTGTTCAGACACTTGAAGTCCCTGTCACAGCCTCTAGCGCTGATTAATGCCATGGGGAAGAAGGAATTCCACCTATTTCCGCCAGAGCTGCGAGAGCTGTGGAGGTGACATGGTCAGTGCTGACGTAGGAGYGCTGGTGGGCTCTGAAGCTGCCAGCTCCAGCAGACCAGGGGCAGGGACAGCCACAGCCCATTGTTCCAGCTGCCTCGGGAAGGCGTCACCGCGTTCGTGACACTGGGTGCATGTTTGGAAGGCTTCCACAGCACAGCGAGGCCCRAGGACTGCCCTGGAACCTCCTCTGCAGCGGATATTTTTCTCCTGCATCCATTTTCTAATTGGCCATTGTTAGATTTTTCACGTCTCCCTGATTACATCCAGCGCAGGAACACAAATGAGTAAGGGGTTGTACAGGAATTGGAAATAAGGTCATTTTTCCTGTCAGCTCACTGAAGTCATTGGCATTGTTCTGTGGATGAGTTGGACTGATAGGACAGGAACCAGCTACGAAATCTGCCGTGGATTTGTTCTGCATTTCAGTGCTACTCCACGGGTGGCAACCTAATTTCCAACTGATGCACCGATTCACAGTCAAAATAATGTGCACTGGGCGTGCAGTAGGATGAATTGACATGACAGCACAATGCACACAGTTATTAAAACGATACGAACTTTGAAGGTCAAGCTAAACCTAATGCCATTAAGAGCTCAAAGTTGATACACCCACGGCCAGTGGCAGTTCCGTCCCACAGCTTGAGTTGCACCACGTGGCCGRGGAGGTTACCAGCCATCCTGCTAAGCTTTGCAGTCTGAATTTGCACAGATCCTCTTACCTTGGAGCTGGCTCGAGACAGCAGCAAAGCTGTGTCGGACGCATTCAAAGCTTCAGGTCAGAATTGATGACATGACACTTCAGCTAAGCTTTCACTGCGGTGTGCACCCACAACAGCGGTGCCAAATGTAAGGGGGAGGAAGGTACCGAGATAAGGTGAGGAGCGAGGAGAAAGGTCTTCAGTGGGAAAGATAAGAGCTTAAGTGAAATAAGTAACAATCCACGTCTCTTACAGTTATAAAAGAGATCTGGGAAAATAAGTTCATTTCTGCTCTTTCAAGAGGACTGGGGTGCTCCACTGTCACTGCCTGAGCACAGCAACTGCATACTGTTCACTGTGCACTTGTGCAGCATTAGCAAGAAAAGAATAAGCAGCATGCCTGCTATGGCCCCAGCTTCCACTGTCGTCCTTTCTATTCTTTTGTTCACCATTCTTCTACCTTGTCTAATCTATTTTTGCTCTCTCCAGACCCCTGGTTTTTCCTTGCTATTTGTTTCGTGCAGCGTATGGGACGGTTTTTTTTCATGCAGCATCTTTCCATTTTGTTTATTTTAGTCTTTATTTTGTATCCTGAATGTTGTCCATCTCTTCCTTTTAAATCTTTCTTTACTGACCCCCTGCTCTCTGTGCATGGATACTTATMAATCTGATGAGGAACCACATGCAGTTTCAGCTGCCTGGATATGCTCACCCTCCCTCGTGAATGGCTTCAGGATAAATAAGCACCAGAGTCCCCAAATTTTTMCTTTTTATGCTAGAGTTAGAAAAATTGCCCCTTCCTCTCACCGCCTCTCAGAGTGGAAATGCTTGTTTTTAAAAAAGCCACAGCTGTTGATACAGTGCTTCTGAGTACATAGAAAACAATTTGCTGGGGAGTTACTCCATTTCCAAACAATCCTGCCCATGTTGCGGTGAAAGCTTCCCAAAAGTGGGACCACACACACTGGCCCATGGAAGTTGGGCATTTGGTGTTTACGGGCGTATATCAACAAGAACAGCTTCTGAGGGAAGGCAGGGATGGAATTCAGKGACTTTTCTGCCTGTTTCATTTTTCAGCTCTTGGGGTTTTTTAAGAGAGAAAAGGCAGGTGCACAAATCAGATCGCTATGGCTGGCTGTGCTGGGAACCAATATGGGAATCAAGAACCTAGTTTTTATCCCCAGTGGTGTTTTCTTCTGCTGTGTTTGAACATTTTGGGTCATTGATGCATCTGGAGAATGGATGTACAGCAGAAATTCTCCTGCAGATAACACTAAGGGAGCCTAGAAGCAGAATGTGCTCTGCTGTTTTCACTAAGCTGGATATGATGGCAATTTTTCCCATTCCTGGAAGCAAATGTCATCGGTGTCTCTCCTCCTCTGGTAGCCCCATTACTGCTAGTAATCAGCAGAAGTAAGGGAGAAGCTACACAAGTTTTATCACAATCAGAGGGGGAGGTCTGCCTGACAGGAAGGGTGTTAAGAGCAGTTGTATCCTGTTTGTGCTTTTGTAGCCATTGGTACTTCCTCATTGTGACCTTGTTTTCCTTCCAGCTTTCTTTTCTGATTCCTTGACGTTCTTTTGTCTTTCTTTGCAGCTCTGGGGTATAATCAAACAAGGCTACAAATGCAAAGGTAAATAAATATTACATGGTTTTTGGGTTTTTTTTTTCAAGCTATGGGTGGTGGGTTTTCGTACAAGTGAGACAATCACACCTCTAACTAAAATGTCCCCTGTCAAACACATCTTGCAYCCACATTTGGTATTGTCCATGAGCAGTGACTGCTGGTACACTATGAAGTCTCACTGCTTTAGAGAAAACACCACCCAGCAGGAACACACAGATTGTGTGAGATAAAGGTCCAAAGCAGCCCCTGATTCCATGAGCTGTCACTTTCGACCAGTAAAACATCTTGGAAAACCAAGAGTTCTCATCCTAACACTGAGACATCCTGAAATATATCCCCTGAGACCCGAGTCAGGAAAAGGTCTGCTGGCAACCCTGTTTGTCATGTACATCCAAGTGCCTGTAGGGAAGCACACTTGCAATTTAATAGTGGCTGAGCTAGAAATAGAGAAATATTTAATTCCTAGCCTGCCCAGCAGATCTCATTGCAAGATCTTCTCTAGACATTCAACTTATTAAAAAATTCTAGAGCTCTTACATCCTTCATAAAAATATTTCATTTCTTGTGCAGTACTTGCAGCACATGAAGCAGTCAGACCAAATGGGACACTGYAGCTGTCCTCGTTGGCTTTGAAATCCTGGCCCTATTTACTTCTCAGCAGCCCAACTCTGGCTGAAGGGCAATGTTGATTTTCAGAGCTGTAACTGCATCTCAGTTATTCATAGGGGAACATTCACATATGTACTCTTTTCCCTTAGTCTTACACTGACTCCAAGGAGAAGGATGAAGAATTCACAGTATTGTTTTTTAGGATACACTATATTCCTGTCTCTCTCCACCCATAAACCTCTCTTCCTCAGGGAGGGATGGAGGAAATATCCATGGCTAAATCAATATGTGTAATTCAGATATTCCTGATTACAGTCACCTTAGAAGATTTGAAAGGGCTGGTTGCAGTCTATAGTTTTACTGGTAGAATGCGGGAAGGAAGGTAAGGTTTTGTCACACCAGCCTATAAACTCAATTTGAGATCTGAAAGTTGAGCTTCTGTCCTGCATCACTGCYTGTAGCAGTGGCCCTGTGCAGACTGAGCAAGAGTGGGTCTGTAAARTCAAAGATACAGGCAATGAAGCATGAAAGTCAGAGAGCAGATCTGCTCACTCAGGTCTGACAGTGTTCAACAAGAGTGAGGGAGCCTGCCTTTTGTGGCAGCAGCCACCAGCTGCTCGGTGTTCCAGCRCCACTGCAGTGTGACACTGTTAGGGATGAGCCCTGCCTTTGAGCACAGAGCTGTCATCTTCTGTTTGAACCCCTGGCACTGTGCTCTGACACAGCAAAGGTGGGGAAGGGGAGTCCATTCCTTCTTTCAGGGCTGCTGCTTTCTCCAGTGAGATGAAAGCCAGGCTGCGTGGTCTGCAAGTGATAGAAGGAACCCTCCRAGACATCTTTATTGTATCTGAGGGGAAGTGTCATATCTGAGGCAGCAAAAACCAGAGCTGGGCATGTACTGCTGTGTCAGTCATGTGAACAAGGTGTTGGCAGAAACCAGAACTGTCACCCACCTGTGCCCTGAGCAGAGGGGCTCTWACAGCAGGGTTATAAAAGCAGCACCTTGGCAATGTTCACCTAGAACACAATGCTGGGCTCTGGAGAAGTAACAGAGAAACCAGGGAGATGGAATTTTCAAACAATGGAAAAGGACACAAAGGARAGAGATTGTGTTTGGGGCACATCTTCCACCCTTACGCCCCTTCTTGCAGATAATATCCATACTCCARCCACACTTCAGAGAATGCACCTGGTGATGATGTGTCCACAGTGATGCAAATCCCTGCAGAGGCTTGGTGTGCAGGTACTCTRCAGGTCTCATCTGGGTGGATGATACACTTCCACAGAGCTCATTCATGTGCTAATGTTGCCTACTGAGCTACTTAGACTGGATTTAACCTACAGTAGTCTACACTGACCTCCAGCAGTCCTTCCAGAGGCTCACGGTGTAGATATTTTGAACCAAACGTGTTTGCTACAGTGGACCCTACTGGGTGAAACAWAAGTCAGCCAAATAAATACCAGCCCCTCTTGGGGGGGGACTCTGCCAGTAAAACTTCTGCAGTAGAGTAGCAGTTTTATGCATGGCACACACAGAATCATATCGGTAATTCCATATCTCTTCCTTGTCGCTATCTTATCATAAAAATATCGTCTTTTCTCTTTTGCTGCCATTTTTCTATTAATGGCTGTWAGGAAATGATCCTGTTTTTTGTAATGCTGTCCACCCCAAATGATGCATTTCTTTAACTCCCTTCACACCYTCTGCCAAACTATTTGTTCCTTCAAAGTCCTTTCTTGGTATCTGCCTGCTAATAGCCCTGAGGGATTACCAGACATTTGTGGCTTTCCATTTGGTGACTTTACAATTCCTTTCTTTACAGACTGCGGTGCCAACTGTCACAAGCAATGCAGAGACCTGCTTGTGCTGGCATGCCGGAAATTTTCCAGAGGAACCTCGGTAGGCAGCAACCACRGCTCTCTGCCTAGCAGTCCATCTCTGCCTCCAGGTGAGGGCAGTTTTCCTCCTATTTTAAACCATTTCCGAAATCCTCTCTAATGGCCGTGTCCTTGCTGCCATTTTAAACTTTTCCTTTGTATCAGCACACAGATCAGCACCTTGTCCTTTTCACTGCATATGGCTTGTGTTCAGTCCTCAGATTACAACATCCTTTTCTCCAGTGATGGCCTTAGCATCCTATCTATCCTAAGGCTCCCTATCCTCCTTATTGTMACCTCTATCCCAGCTGAAAAGAAATGAAATTGTACTTCTCCTTTTTTGTCACTTAGGAGCGAGGAGACATAGAGCACAATTCTAGCATTGCTTTATCCCCAAGCATGCAGATGGTGAGAGAATAAAATCTGTGCACATGGTAACAGAAATAGTTTCCAAGCAGCATTTGGATATTGATAATTACACCACTGGTTCATATAAAGGGTTACCTCCCCATCCTCCCTTACGCTTACCTTTTTGTAAAGATCTTGAAGTAGAAAATTTAAATGAAAAAAATCCACCCTCTCTTTCAGTCCAAGATGAAGTATTTGAATTTCCTAGCGTTGCTGCAGAACACCAGGACCTTGATGGCAGAGCTATCACCCTTGTCACTGGCTCGTCACGAAAAATTTCTGTGCGGCTGCAGCGGGTGACCACCAGCCAAGCAACGCAGACGGAACCACTCTGGCACGAGCCAGGTTGGAATGATTCAGGTTCCCATACTTTCCCCAAAATGAAGTCMAAATTCCATGGAAAAACTGGGAAGAACAAAGGCTTTGCAAAGTGGGAGAATGAAAAGCCCAGCATGCAGGCTGATGTAGAACTAGAAGCCGAGGCCCCACAAGATATACAGAATCACAACGGAATAGAAACCCTCCCAGAAAGACAAGAATCTGAGGTAAGTTYCCAAAAAAGCCAAGACAGTTTAAAATCTGCCTCAGTCTGAAATCTCRTAAGGTTATTTCATGGATTTCAGGACACTTTTTCATTCAAATTTGTCATTGCTTCTTGCACGAGTTACTTTGAGAAGAATGCTAAATCATCCATTGGTACTTGTTTCCTACACTGCAGTACATATTCACTGTGACACTGTACCTGGGAGTTTGGGTTTTGGTGTCAGCATGTGCTTTTAGGAGTTGGGCACTTTTCATTATGAAAACCATTAAAAGCAGCCTGGTAGATGTCTGGCCATGTTCGGTGCTGTTGCACCCTTGCACTGCACAGTTCAAGGCTCCATGTTAGACTCACAACATTCRTATTCTGACAAATACAGGAGTCCAGGCCAGGGCAGGATATTGGTCTATGTCTCTTACTGTCACCCMTGAAGTTTATACTCCCAAAGCCTCATGCTTTTACTGACCATCTCTGCCAGCATGTAAATGCCTGTTTTCTTCTGCTTACAGGATAGCTGATTGCTCACCCCGAGGCACAGAAAACTGAAGACGAGAACTATAAGCAAGTGTTGATGGACTGTCACAGACCACATCTGGCCATAAGGAGTGTTCCCATACCTCGTCCTTTGAAACCCAACCATTGCCCTGTTTTCTTAGCTGAAAGGTGTTATCAGGCACTATTTATTTTCTCACGAGGAAGCCATTTGGATGCACATTGCACGGACACAGCAGAACGGATCTCTGCACTCAGTGTTTTCTTTTGTATGACTTCTGTGGAAACTTCCTCTACATGCCAGGGAGAATATATTTGGCCTTCTTTAAATGCACTGCATCATTTTGGTATGTCTGCCAGCAACAACAATAGCGAGGACAGAAGCCAAGCATCTAAGTTTGTTCAATAACACCCCTTACCCAAGGCTTGTAGTGATCATTTAAGGAAAGAAGTAGGTGTGTGTGTTAATTAAATCTCAAACAAAAATCTCTCACAAAGTCCTCTACATTGAAATTCCTTGCACACCTGGGGTTTTGAATTTTGGCCGTGTTTACATTGCTACAGTGAACGTGTTGGTGTTCAGCACAGCGATACCAGTTCCCAGACTGGGGATCCTTCAAACAGGCAGCATCCGGCTGAGACGGAAGGAATTCCAAGACACTATGTGTTTGTCTAGTTACACCACAATGGAGAAGGGTCATCTTTGCCAGCACTGATTATGGTAACATTAGCATGCAATAAACACTTTAGTTTTAAGTGTGTGCGGGTGTCTGTGTATATCTGTGGATACGATACTTTTCTCTGGCTAGCAAGCTGTACATGTTCTGAAGAGCAACCTCCAAAATAGCAGTTTGCCAGATCTAGCACCTGAATCTATAATGGTACAGTTTGAAGTTGCATTTTGCAGAAAAATTAAATTATTGAAAGAGCACAGACCTGAGAGAAAAACAAAACAAAATACCACAAAGTTCAAACCTGAAAGACTGGCACACGTGTTATTCTTCTCACCCTTCTTCCCACAAAAACAGGTGTGGGTGTGTACCACACATTCTGACTTAAAGCCACACAATTATAAGATGTATGTCCCACAAAATTCAAGTTATTGCACCCTTCAAGACAAGAGTAGTTTCATAAACTTCCCTAACACAAAACTGACAGTTTATTCTTGGTAATTTGACTGTAAACTGCACTGGGACTACATAATYCCGGCCCAGGTTTGCATCTTGAATCCAGCAGGTTTCCTTTGTTTTCTAACACAACCAGTAGCAATAGTAAATCCATGGAGATACAAAAAAAAATTAAAAACAACTAAATCTCTTCACTGTTGTAAACTTAACAGAAACAAGCACTGCACGAGCATTGGTTTCCAAACTAGGATGAAGGCCAGAAGCATACTTTGCTCTCAGCTGTGGCAAAGAAGGAGCATTAGCACCAACGTGGTCTTTATTTCCTGTGGAGGGGCAGGGCACGGGTCACAGGCAGCTGAGCACACAGCTACCGTTACAGCACATGGCTTGCACACAACGAAAATGATGTGGTGGAGAATTTGAATAGACAAATTTGGTTATGATCCAGGCTATTGATGGAGCTGCTGAGATAAGCTTCATAGGGCTTTATAAACATGCTTGTGAAATGTTCACAAGCAACTTCATTCTTAACATCACATAGTTTTGACCAGCATTTAGTCTGTGGACTTCAGCTGATTTCTTGCAGGCTTTTAAAAGTTATTTGTAGCTCTTGACTCAATAAATCTCTTGCAAGCCTGGTAGCTTCAGTCAGTTATATGCTTACCTCAGCAGCAGCTGCAGATYRGGGGYAGTCTGCAGGCTCACACAGCTGATSCTGCAAAGCAAAACACTGCAGCCTCCAAGGAGAATCACAGAATCATTAAAAGTTGGAAAACACCTCTAGGATCACCAAGTCCAACCTTTGACCAACCACCTTGTCAACTAAACCATGGCACTAAATGCCACATCCAGCAGTTTCTTGAACACCTCCCTGGGCARTCCATTCCAATGCTTAACAACCCTGTCCATGAAGAAATTCTTCCTGAAATTCTTAATGAAATTGAGAAGGAAAAGGTAAAAATTTCAAGTACCTGCTACAGYTGGAAAGCCTTAGCTTCAGGCATTTAAGGAAAGGGAACACAAAGTGTGTTGCTGGCAGTTAAGTGTTCATAGCCACTGAAAAACAAGAACACTGGATAGAAATGCAGCCTTTTTCTCACACATACTCTCCTTACTGCCCAAAAAGGTATAGATTTATCATAGATAATGTAACAATTTATTTAAAAAGCATTCACAGGCTGCTTACAGAATGTGGACCTCCTAGTTCCACAAGAATCTGAGTAGGGGAAGCTGACAAAGCTTGAACATTTTAAGAGATTGATAAGAGAACTTTTTTACCTGTGGGGAGGTCTGAATATACCAAATTCAAAAAATGTTTTTCTCTTACTTCAAGAGCACATCTTTTTCTGAACAGGGGAGAAAACTTTTCTTCACAGAAATAATTTTAGTTCCCCAGTCTAGGCAAAGGAACAAAGAGTTTCTTGTTCGCCCTCTCTAACTTAACAAAATGCACAAAGAATCAGCCATCAGAGCTCCTGCCTCAGTTATGTGTCTTTGCTGCTCTTGGTGAAATCCTGCCTGCTAGAAGTACAGCAATTCCAGGAGAGTGTCCAGGAGAAAGTGTGTCATAATGACAAGAATGCTGGATTAATGAAGTAGCTAAAGTCAGATACAGGCCCAAATGATGCTGGATACTTCCACTTCATCCATTCTCTCCTGTCTCAGGATCTTTTAAAAAACATGGAGACTGAGAGATTCTTTAAAAAATAACGCCCCCCCCCCAAACACCATCCAGTGGAAAAAATGGAAGATTATGTCAAACTTTATTTACAACTTGGTGTGCAAATGCCAAAGAATACAAGCAATAAGAGTAGGTGAAAAATGCAAGTGCTTGGATAGACTGTGTAAGAAATTATTTGGCTGTTTGAGCCAAACCCACTAGAACTTTCTGTGCTTGTGTAAAACCTCTGCAAAGCCTCATGTTGCACATAAGGGAGCTTCAGCTTTGCTTCCAACTTTACAGAGTAGCACTGAGTGCTTCCTAAGGAMTCAGGGGGACATCTGGCTCCCTCAGATTGAAATGCAGAGTCAGGTTTGAACCACAGCTCTCTCCTCTACTCTAAATGCCCCCAGAGTTTCGTCCTCCTCTGTCCGCCTCCCCCCCCACCATCCCCCAGTGTTATGCAGCTTTTAGGTTTTAAAATAGTAAATCCAGCTTCACAAAGAAACACCTTCCTAGACAGAAGCTATCTTTTCAGAGGCACCTTTCTCAGGCAAGTGAAATCTTGGGCAGGGGCAGGGAGAACATGCCCAGAACTTGTCTGAAGCATGGATTTTCCCTGGCTGGGAAAGGTGAGCCATTTTCCTTTCAGTGCAGCAGAGTGCAGAATGAGCTGAGCTSTAGAGCAAGTTTAGGGGCAGCCATTGCCTAAAATGTCACATTTTTCCAAAATCCTGTCACRTCTGTGGACTGTTGCTCAAGGACTCCTCTATGGAAGTCAAAGTGGAAGYATGCCCTATGAAGCCTCCCAAGGTCTTCCTCATGGGAAGCCTGGAAGCCTTTGGYTGTGGGAGCCTGAGCAGCCACAGGAGGATCCTTAGAGCCTTAAACACGAGTGCTAGAAGCCTTAGGCATCTGTATGGGAAATAGCTGCATGTGAAGGATCCTAGACACAGGCTGGAAAAAGCCCCAACAAAACAAAACAAACAAAAAACCAAAACCAAAACCAACCAACNNNCCCAAAACAAAACAAACCCCACCAAAACCAGAGAACAAATAACAAGACAGACAAAGAGAAGATGCAGGAAGAAGCACACTAAGAGACCTCTTTCTCTATGTGACACCAAGAATGGAAGGCAATCCCAACAGCTCAAAAAAAAATCTAATGCATGTTTGCTTCATTCAGCATCAGCCTGCTAAGTGATGGATTTCCATATAGCACAAAAAATAGCTCCAAATACTTCTCAAGAGAACCTTGACAAATGAGCTGGCTCATCCAGGGTCAGTGCAGAAATAGATGCAACTTTGGAAAAAGTTTTTGAGTTATCAGCACTGATCTGAACTGGATTTCCAAAATAAGCATTGCAGCCAACAGGCTAAACTCATTGGAAAATCTGTGTGCTGAACTTTAAAATGCTGCTTACAGCTGCTGACAATCTGGTCCTAGGAGACAGAAAAGCCATCAGCAAAAGGCTACTGCTGGGGCAGTAGGAAATTTAGCCAAAAAGTCTGCTTTTTCCATGAGTTGAGCTAATGCCGGAAAGTTTAGAGTCCTTATCGCATCCATTGCTGCTTCATGTGTGAAAGCGAGTTATGACCTTCCACCTGCCCACAGCACAGGCAGACTCCCTCTTTCTTTGATTTTACAATAGTGTTTTCCTACTTTTTGTACTTGTTTTTCTCTCCTCTGTTGTGGGAAAGACCCACATGGACAAGAAGGGAAATTACTGGACAATAAAGGGGAAACAATGACACTGGCAGCAGTCAGAGCTGTAAAAAGCACTAAGTAAACACAAAGGAAAAATATTTTTTCCCTTCTACCCTTGTTTGTTAGGCCATTAGAGGTGTGACTTATTTTTGGCCAAAGAGGGGAGAAGGCAATGTTTACAGCTGCTAATAGCACTTGCTTTTTTCAGTTTGTGTCCCTTTGAAAAGTCATAACCTGAAACAAGCTAGCACCTGAGTATGCTGAGAGTCTACACGGGCAACACCTCAGTGGCACTGCTCTCCAGTCACAGCACTGGAGGKTTTACTAAGGGTTTACAAAGGGTTTACTAAGAGGCTGATACAGCAGACTTGGAGCTCAGCATGACCTGGCTTGTTTGGGACTGCTAAATCAAGCTCAACACCTTAAAAATGCATTGGAACATCTGCAGSATTCCTGTTATCCAGGGAAATCAGAAGTTCACAGAGAGCAGAWTCATAAGCCTGACACTCAAACACCTGGGCCCTCTACTGAAGTCCTAAGTATGGCAGAACTAAGAAAAAAAYATGTGCAATAAACAGCTATTTGAGGGCTCTCGTTTGCAGGTCTTCGTTWACCTAACAGGAGCTGAATTAACTTCCAGAAGCGGAATAATTGACATAGGACTCCAAAAAGTCATCAGATCCTTGTGAGAATCCTTATTCCCCACTGCACCCTTCCCACTTCAGCGGGTTGATTTTCATTTCCTAGGTGCATAACATGTTACAGGGAATACTCCTACACTACAGGACTTTTCAAACTCRAATCACTTCTTCTAACTACCTAGTCATGAGTTTTGATTCCCTTCTCCCTATCATAAGATACTTGACTGGTAAGCCTCTAGTTTCTAACTGAGCCTGAGCTTGGTTGAGGCACTTGCCACATTATGAATTCAAATGCAGGTAAGTTTCATGGAGACACACAGACAAAGCCTTAAGGCAGGTTACCCACATGCTCTGGCTAAGAAACCTAATCCACAGCTTGAGGAGCCCTTCTGGGGCCACCAGTCATCATGAGACATCACCAAGGAGCTGCACACTTTAGGATTTTGGCTGCTGATTAGAAGAATCTCATCAAGCAAGAAATTACCAACCAACTACAGAGAAAACTACTCAGGGAACAGCTACAAGCCAAAAAGCTTTCTGGGGTGAGGGATGCATGAGGTAAACTCAGCAYTTCCCCTTGTTGTAGTACTGCTTTACACACAGTAAGAAACAAATTTTTATCTCTTCCAGACCAGCAAGGGAAACCCAACTGTGACTGTAGYGCATACAGATCATGGTATTCCAAGTCACGTACTAAGGCACCTGA